GTAAGCAGACGCCCTATCCCGGCCGGCAAAGCTACCATTGTCTTGCCTCCAGCCAGCCTAAAGTGCCCTCCCTTTCAAAGCCTGTCAGGCCAAACAACCAATTGGACTATCCCCATGACTGCACCAGTTACCATCCAAGCCAGGAGATGGCGGCGAATACGCACCGACATCGGGTTTGTCTTGATTCTCTCGATGAGGTCCGGCTAAATAGAAACTACTCGCCGTGCAAGAGCAACTATCGGTCAAGGTGGATGCAGACTTTTGATCAATTGCCCAGCGCCAGTCGAGCCGAGCTTGGGGATGCATGCGGTACCGACGCCTCAACAGAGAAGCAAGCACAATTGAGTGGCCAAGAGCTGAGCTACGGAGAAACAGATGCCCATGACGTTGGGCCAGAGGCTTTTCAACCAGCTCGAGTCTGCGAGTACGGGAGGCCAGTTGAAGGTTGGATGCTCAAGACTTGTGACCCACAGCCGGACCGAAAGGAAGACTGTGGCATCAGTGTTGGTTCCAACATTGGCAGACTGACTAGACGGTCTGAACTGCTATCGCACAAGCGACTGCCCATTTGGACGGCAGATGAGCAGGCCGTAAAGGAGAGGACGGTGCCGGCAAATAAACAGCGAATTCGAAAAAGCGAGGTGTGTGAACACTGTGCTGTCTCAAATCCTATAAACTCTCCGAGCTGCAGGGATTCTGATTTAAAGGAGGCAACGTGAGTGAATCTAGTTAGAGTGGGCTACTGTGTGAATGAGGGTCTAGATGATGACGGAACTAGTAGATTTAGTGCTGCTGGTGCTAAAGTAGCAATTGGAACTAAGCCTATTACTTTATTTAATGACAAATTGACTCGACCATTTACTTAAAATGAAGTTAAATTGCCTTGTTAGCACTTCTACATCTCATATTACTGATTTACTGGTAGTCACGAAAACAATACTTAATTCGAAAAATAAAGCATAGTAGTCGATAGTTATAGCATCGACAATTCCAACAAAAGAATATGATATGGCAAAAAGGCCTGGCCTTCCTTGGAAATTCACATTTGCTCTGTGACCCAAAAGGCGCTCGTGGCAGTGTAGCCGGGTGGTCAGTGTGCACTGTCGCGGTTCGACTCCCGCTGAGGGTGTTGATAAGACCGATGCGAGGTCGAAATTGCAATCCACCCTGGAAGAGAACAACTTTTGGCAGAGCAAGGCTATGTGAAATTTAATGGAAACGTCAGCTCAACTTATATCATTGTGGGAAAATTCTTCTTATACCAGTCCTTCACCTTAAACGAAATTGAGTGAATACATCTCATATCACTTCTAAAGAGTTACACTATTGGGTCATGCACAGTAAAAAATGGGTCTTCACCATTTAACTTAAAGCGGAAAAACGCCTAACATAAAATGGGAATAAGCAGTAATAGAAATTTTGTAATTAGATGTATTCACCCTATTTCGTGTCAGCTCAACTCATATCATTGTGGGAAAATTCTACTACCAGTCCTTCATCACCTTACACGAAATAGG